AGGTTTTTGCTATAGGGCGCGTGCGCTCACCAGACAGACAGAGAGAGACAGAGAGATAGAAAGCAGGAAATCACCCCCCCAGGGGGGATGGCCACGCCGCAATCCCTTCTCCATTCTCCTCTCGGGATCTTGGGCACGCACGCACACGCACCCGGCGTGAGTTTAAGCCACCGGGTCCGGGACTCGAACCGCGGTCGACTACGTGGCAGTCCAGCGACATAGCCATTACGCTAACTGCTGGTCCCCTAAAAATTGAATGCTTTTGACTAACTTTTTTTTTATACTAATTTTGAGTGTCATTTGTTGTAACTACCTGCTGGCTCTTTCTCTTTTTAATTTGCTATAGGGCATGTGCACTTAGAGAGACAGAAAGAGAAAGTGAGGAAGCACCTCCCAGGCGAAATGGCCATGCCCCAAGCCCTTTTCCATTTTCTTTTCTTTTTTCTCGTTTTCCTTTTGGGAGTTGGGGCACACACACACAAGTGCCTAGTATTTTTCAAGCTGACTTGTGCTGGAATTGAACAGAGTAGTTAGCCAAGTGGGATCCAGCTATCATAATCACCTGCTGGCCCACAATTTGCTGGTTCTTACTAGACTTGAATACTTAAATCCAGAAGGTATCTATTAGGACCAACTGTTGGCATTGAAATTAGAGTTGAGATTAATTTGTTTTTCATGTTACCTGGAAATAAACTCTGTTTTGCATATGGCTGATTGCTATTTTTAAATCAGTTAATTTTTCTTTTTTTTTTTTGTTAGCTTGCCAGAGGGTATATACGACAGAGAGAGAGAGAGCTAGAGAGAGAGAGAGAAAGTGAGCGTGAAAGTACCCTCCATAGAGCATTGTCAAGCCATAATCTCTTGTCCATTTCTTCCTTCTTTCAGGATTTTGGGTATGCATGCACATGCCCTGTATGTTTTTCAAAGCCACCTGGGTCCATGACTCAACACCAGTAAGCCATGTGGGATCCAGTTGCCTTAACCACCAGATCACAGGCTG